GGACCCCTGCAATAGGACTATGGACTGACTAACTTCCTTTGTTCAACCTACCCCCTCCACCATTGCAGACTTCTGTTAGGGGGGTTTTGTACCTATCTTCTTTCTCTCTCAGCGTAGCGACCTCCTCCCTCCGGTACCCCCACCCCAGCCCCCACACCCCCTGGGTTTAGATGGCTAACATTGTAATTATGTAACCTGGTTGTGTTCCTCTCCTCACCCCCATCACTCTTGTTAGCCCCTTGCTTGGGCACTCTGTATTCCCCTTATGGCTTTGTCATTTTTATTCTACAATTCTTAACATTTGCTAATAAATTAAATCTGGGGGCATCCAAACCCCAAGACCTCTGAGCTTGAGCCTGTACACAGAATGCCTGCCAACAGGACTGGGAGCATCTGAATCCCAGGGTGCGCAGTCCAGGGTGGAGGATGCTCGTGGGTTCTAGCCCCATTTGTGGTGCTTAGAATGAGCAAGTTCTCCCTGCTCAACAGATACGGGTTTCAGAACCAAATAGCTGAACCTGTTCCAAATCCTATCAGTTGAGCAGAACTCCAACCATGTGATTTGGCTCATTTGATCTGCAACCCCCCAGATCAAACTATATAAAGAAGATACTATATAAAAAAAACCTCCCTCAAAAATCACTTTAGCCTCCCTGAGAGTGAGTTGGGTTTTGCACATGCTGCAACAATCAGCTGCCTCAAAAAGTATTGTACGTTTTAAATACTTTTACTAGTATTGATGATCGTACGAGAGTTGAAAAGATCACGCAAGTCAGATCCTTTGTACGCCCTCCTACACCGGGTGTTCGCAGGCGGGGCAGGTCGAACGTTCGACCAAAACCCACCCTGAACCGCCTGCGCATGCGCTCCCCCGGCTGAAGAGGGCAGGAAGTGGGGGCGGTCTCTAGTCACGCTCCGGGGCGGGGCTAGAGCTGACCACGGCCCAGCGCCTCGCTCTGCCCCGGCACTATGGCGCTGAGGGCAGGAAGGGGCAGGGCTCCAGGCTGAGGGGCGGGGCTCCGGTGGGCACTGCCGGGAAGAGCACAACAGCGCGGCTCCGCCTCGTCGGAAGGCTGCTGGGGCTGGGGGAGGGCGACCTGCCCTCGGCCGGGGGCGGGGGAGACAGCACCGGGGCGAGGCCCCGCGGCTGCTGTCTCAAGCCCGGAGCGGAGCGAGGTTGGGGGGTCGCAGCGGCTCTGCAACGGCTCCTCCCCCTCCCCCTTCGCGCTCTTAAAGGGCCCGCAGCGTCTCTCCCCCGCGCCAGCCAATCCCCGCGCGCGCCCATGGCGCCGCTTCCCGTGTCGTCGCCTCGCGCTCCCTCCCTCCTTTCCCTTTCGCTTCCGGGGTCAGAGCCGCCGCGGCCGCCGCTCGGG